CACACACACACACACACACACACACACACACACACACACACAAACAGAGAGAGAGAGAGAGAGAGAGAGAGAGAGAACACCTCTTACCTTGCTTCCTGCTGGAGCACTGATAATCCATAGGCAAGTTTGATTTGGGGCATACTTTTTAGGGAAATTTGGGGAAGTAACTGCTCCAGAAGTGTTAGTAAAAGTTGCTCCACATTGCACTGTGATGAAAAGATTGAAACATTTCATAAGAGAAGAAAAAATCATCATGTTAAAAAAATGACAATGAATACTCATCTGTAAAGCTCAGAAAAGTTACAGGGGTGGGGCTACAACTCCCAAAACTCTGCTCTCCTGTTGTCCAGTATATGCTGAGAGTGTCAGTAGCACTTCTCTCAAGCCGGTATAGTGGCACTACTCAAGTGTTTGGAAGGGATGTGAAAGCCACACTTGCAGCACTCAGCTGTGAGGTTCACTGGGTATCTTGAATGAAAAAAGGGCAGGATATAAATATAACAAGCACACTAACCTATTGCATTTCAGTAGAAAAAGGTCACCAGGAGCAGTGGAAAAACATGGCTGTAGGAAAGGTCACTACTGAAATGGAGGAGCTCGACCATTTCCGCCACTGGTACATCCCAGCCCCCAGCATCCTCTGGAACCACGTCTCAATAGGATACACATACAGATGCTGTGAAGCAGCAATAGGATAAGGAGAGCACTACACGGAATGGAAATGTGTGGCCCTCCAGATGCTGTTGGACTGCAACACCCATCAGCTGTAGTCTATGTAGTCAATGATGGGACAATGACAGTCCAATAATATCTGGATAGCTACACACTGGCTGAAATTCAGTAGTAAGTTCCAGTTAGAGTAGGCCCATTGAATCAGTGAGTCCACTCCCCTAAGTTTCATTGATTGAATGGGCCTACTCTAGTTAGATTTACTACAATTTGGATTTTTGGCCATTGTCTGTTTCTTCCTCACTGAATAACTCAGTTGAATTCCTGGTCATTTTTAACTCACTGGGATGTATTTTTTTGAGTAAATGTGCTTTAAATGAGGTTCTTTGAATCTAAAGGTTAGTACTTAGTGAGAAGTCCCTAAACCCTAGAATCTGGTGGTATGGAATCTGAGAGAAAATAGATAAAGAGAATTAGGAAAATGCAGGCTCTTGGAAAAGAATGGCTTAGAATTGAAATACACTCGGGACAAGCTTGCAAAACCACCACCACCCATGCTCCATGTTCAATATAAGCATTTTTTCCCTTCTCAAATGTTGGTGATTTCAGTGGCTAATGGGACAAAGAACAGTTCATACCACGTGCATAAGAAGCTGTGAAACCTGTTGCGGTTGTATCCCCACCACTCACAAACTCCACAAGCATTGTGTTTCCAGAAGCCACCACTGCAGGGGATTGCCCTCTTCCACAAAACCTGTCAACAAGGGCATGGGCATTTCTGCTGATCCCATCATAAACCCGGACATAGTCAGAGCCACAGTCTGGGGAATGCTGGAGTTCAAAAATGTGGAAACTCAGGAAGACCTGTAGAATAATAAGAAAAATAACTCCATTTTAACTTGTTTTGAACCTGCTTCTTACCTTTTGTTCTTAAGTGTCATTAAGCCAAAGGTGGGTTGTTGTTGTTTTGCCCATGCTGGGCTTGCCATAGGATTGCAGCTGAAAGGCATCCTCATGGCAGCTAGTTCCCTTCTTAGCTGTAACATATACAAGATCAGTATTCATCATGTGAAATTCCTTGTCATATTCCTATCAAAAGCCACCTAAGATCCAGGTAGATGAGATTCTGAGTTTCTAAACCAGCTAACAGCATGGTTTCCCCCTCCAGCAGTGTGATACCCTCAGAGTTTATTGTCTGAAAGATCAAATGGTGAATAATCCCAAAACAAAGACAGCTGATTTGCAAACTGCAAAAGTGAGAAAAGCTCTTGGTAAGACAATCACATGTCATTTATCACTTCAGGTAGCTTTGATTCAACATTCTAAGCCATCATCTTGTGAAGCTGGACTCACACCAGGTTTATGATGGGATGACCCGATGCTTGATTTAGTAGAACCTAACAGTTCTATACACTGCAGTACCACCATGAGGAGGAAGCAGATTCCAACAGTGTCCTCACAAGGACTGTAATACAGTGGTGCCTCGCAAGACGATATTAATTCGTTCCGCGAAAATCGCTGTCTTACGAAAACATTGTCTTGCGAAATAAAAAAGTCCCTAAACACAGCGGGGAGCCATTTACCTGGTGGCCATATTGAAACCGCCGATCAGCTGTTAAAAAAACATCATTTTGTGAAGAATCGGTTCCCAAAGCGAAAAAAACCTATTTAGACCATCGTTTTGCGATCGTAAAAATGTCGTTGTGAAGCGGTTTTGTCGTTTAACGAGGCAATAGTAAAGTGAGGCACCACTGTACATTTTTCTGGGCCAATACATTTTCTAACAATACCGCTCTATGTGAGTGCCTATTTCCCAAGTAGGAGATTCAGTGTTCCAAATGCCTTTCTTCAACCAGTATTTCTCCAAAAATACTGAAGTATTTCTTCAAAAATACCTCATACCATCTCATGGTTTGGTTGGCTGCACAGAACGCTATCCTGCCCTTGTGCACTGTCTACTGCTTCGTAGTGCATGAATGGAGAGCTACACACAAGACTCAAATGATAGTCTAAATCCAGCTATTTGTTTGCTATCCTACCCTTGTGCACTGTCTACTGGATGAATGGAGAGCTACACACAAGACTCAAATGATAGTCTAAATCCAGCTATTTGTTTTTATGGATAATACCAACATATACTTTCAGACAAACCTTCCACTGAGGCTAAAGATGCTTTGCCTGAAATAATCTTCTTCTTCGATATATATGTCTCATTAAAAGTGAAGTGATGCCAATGAAGAAGTAGTTTTTCTAGGCAGTAATTCTCAAGCTTTGGTCTCAATGTTTCATACATCATGTTGCAGAATGCTAGCTGCAACTTCAAGGAAATCTCAAACAGCTGGAGGCCAAGCTTTCTAGGCAGTAATTCTCAATGGTCTCAATGTTTCATACATCATGTTGCAGAATGCTAGCTGCAACTTCAAGGAAATCTCAAACAGCTGGAGGCCAAGTTGGGAACCACTGTTCTAAAGAATAAATACATTCTCCTTCATAACTTTTTAAACTCTACCTCTTATCTCCTTGCAGATAGCTTTCCTGAAAGCTACTGGAAAGAAGTTAGTAATTGGCTGCATCCATTTTCCACATTGTAGTGCCCTTACAAAATTTGAACTGCAACTCCTATTATGTCTTTTGATTGACCGTTTAGCAGACAGTGATAGGATTTGTAGTCCTGCAAATCCGGATGCTGTTCAGTTGTGAAATCCTGGCCTACATGTTCTCAGTTACATAGGATTTTCGAAAGAATAGCTCTCCAAGGTCTACAGAAAGCAATAAGAAAAGGTTTGCCCCATCACCTCTAGATACACTTTATCACAGCTGGGTGTTATACTCTATATTTGATACCTTAGCACAAAATCTGATTTGAGCATGCTTACCTTTCCTTCTGGGATTTCAATTAGCCAGAGACATGTGACATTGCTGGGGTAGGGATGGGGGTAATTAATAGATGAGAATTTGCCACTTGGTTTCTGTAGCACAGTGCTGCAGTCTTCTAGAAAAAAAGAACAAAATTGGGGAGAGAAACATGGCTTTATGTGTAACAAAAAGATCACTTGTGAGACAAAAAGATAATTTGTGCAACAAAAAGATAATTTGTGAGAGATATTGCTCAAGGTGGCTGGGTGCAACTCAGCCTGCACTGAAGAAGATGTATCTGTGCTCTGACCTTCCTTCAACTTTGATATTTTTAGGATTCCTTCTCACTTGTCTCACTCAGTCCTCTGAGGGAGAGGACAGAGGCATTTTCCTTTTGTTCTTGGGAGGTAAGGGTGTATATATAGCTCTCTGCATCTCCAAATCAGAATTTCTCTCATCTTTCCTACCTCACTAAATTACTTCAATAAGTAGCAGCTTTCTCACTTTCCTAGAGTAACAACCCTGGATCTGAGTTCTTTCCAAAGGAGATGCGTGCTCTGCTAATCATTCTGCTCTTCAGGGGCAAAATCCACAAGCTGACTTAGCTGTGGCTTGGTGCTGCTTCCTTTTCTGACACATTATTATTCCTGGAAGCAGGATGCATGTAGGAAAAATTACTTTTTTGGGACTACCGTTCCAAGACCCATTCTAGCTAGCCTGGCCAGTGTAGAGACCAAGTTCTAGAGTTGGGACTTTGATCTGCTGTGGCCTATAGAGGCCTGAGATAGTTATTAAGCGAAGTACCAATCACTGTGTAACGATTCCACGCAACTTGGCTGGGGTCCAAAGAACATACTTTTGTAAAGAAAGAATGCCAAACTATTATATGAGGTCTACTGAGGCACTAGATTTAACAGTAGCTCATGATTCTAATGGAAAATGAACCATGAAGCATTCCCCCTACTTACTGCACTTGTATAGCTTGTTGATTTTTTTTAAGTCGAGGTTACTCAGCCCAACTCTCTGACCAATTGGTACAGATGCATTAGGGATAGGAACAACGGTTGGTTTTCCAGCAGCATTAGAAAAATCATATCTGCAGAAAACAGGAACAGATGTGCTCATTAGATCTCATCTGGTAATCTAGTATAATACAATATTTGAAATAATATTTGCAAAGCAATCAACCTGTGAAACATTTAATTACTGGGAAACTGCAACAAGAAAAAAAAAGTCATAAACACCAGATGGTCTGCATGTGTGCATGATTTCTCTCAGCAACAAAACTGTATAAGGAAACATTTATTCATCTGTATCAAGACAGATGTCTGTGGCCTAATAAGGCTGTCCCAGTCATTCACTCAAAAGACAAAAAAGAAGTATTTTATTTATTTATTTATTTAAAATATTTTTGCCCCACCTTTCTCCTTAAAAGGACCCATAATGATAAACACTTTTTACAAATAACATTGAATTATTCTAGGGAAAAAAAGAGATGTTAGTCATTAATTTGACAAAGTTAAGGAATCTTCCCTTAGCGTAAATCCATTTCATTAGAACTAATGCCTTGTCTGCACAGCTACAGCATATGAGGCTGATGACATCATCATCCATAACCATGTTTTTAGAAGTCAAGTGTTTCTGATCCTGCTCACTTCCCAGAGGTCCCAAGGCTTCTATGGGATTCTCTTCATCTTGTTGCGGGGGGGGGGGAATCATGGGACTGGAAGGGGGGAGTCGTTAGTTTTTGAAAATCGGTACCACCAGTATGACTTTAGTGGTGCCAGTGAGTTTGGGAAATTAAAGAAAAGAAAAGAAATTAAATTGTGGTGGCTGAGAACATCATCATCACCACCCTTATACAGTATAGTTGTGCAAACAACTATAATTTCCATATTTTTTTTGTATGCAAAGTATTTTCCCATCATATATTACAAATGCACATACAATGTGTTTGTTTCTAGTAATGTACTAAAGACTGTATGTTAGCAACAGGGACTAAGGCAGTTTTTTTTTTGTTTAAAGTCATCCTAGTCTAAGCACGTTACAGGAAAGACAGGAATATTATAACAACAACAACAACAACAACAACAACAACAACAACAACAACAACAACAACAACAACAACAACAACAACAACAACAACAACAACAACAACAACAACAACAAGCCTAAGAGAAAATACATGGTCATTTTTAAAGACTGGTCTTAATTGGAAAACATTTAAAGAACTATTTCCCCTAAAATTAGAAGCAATTCTGTCTGAAAAGAGATTACCCAAATCCAGACTTACGCGCCATAATGCATCACTGAATCATAGTCATAGGGAAGATCCAAATTGGTCGTGTTTTGTTTGTCAAAATTCCCCTGTTGTCCTGTAAGAAATGAGCGCAAATAGATCAGATACCCACAAAAACACACAGAGGAAAAGACAGAGGACGAGTTTTACTGTTCTGAAAACAAAGAGGTTGCAAAGATTTTTTAAAATTTTATTTGGGTTTGGCCTGATATTAATAATTACCCATGAAGTCCTTCTTCACTTCCTTCACTTCCTTCAAGCTTTAATCTTGAGGATTAAATAGGTTCTTGTCTGGAAATCAAAGAGCTGAGCAAAGGAGGAAGGAAGGTACAGAGAGTTAAAGAAAAAAATGTCCAAAGAGAAAGAGAAAGTTGGAAGGATTTGTACATTAATACACTTCCTGGAGAACCGAAAGACCTGTAGCAATTTACAAAGAAGCAGCCGTGTCAGGCTGTCTTAGCATATTCAGAAAACAAAACAAAAGAATGGGAAAAAAGGAAAATATTGTAGCACTTTAAAGACCAACAATTTCATTTCATTGTTGGCTTTCATGGATCCATATCTATTTCCTCAGGCGACAGAAGTGCAAATACCTGGCCAGTTTATGTATTTATACATATACTCCTGGTCTGTGTGCTTGATAAAAAAACAGGGAGTTCAAAAGGCAGGAAAGGACAGCAGGCCATTTTTCAAAGATTGTTATAAAATAATAAATATGAATATTTAAGGTCCAAAGAAGGTATGAAAATATATTCCTAATTTTTAAAAAAACTGTAAAACTAGTAGTATTGATTACAGTTGTTGTGGGTTTTTTGGCTCTTTGGCCGCGTTCTGAAGGTTGTTCTTCCTAACATTTTGCCAGTCTCTGTGGCCAGCATCTTCGGAGGACAGGAGTAGCACACTGTGCTCTGGTCACAGAGTATTGATTGCATTCACAGTTGAAACAGTACAAGAGTTCACCTTGTACAATTCCAAGGGGAGGGGGAGTTATTTCTGAGGTTTAAGGAAAGAAAGAAAAGAATTAAAAAAAACTGAGGATTTTAAAAGGGCTCTGTGGATCAGGTTCTTCAGTTGGCTGAAATTTAACCTGAGTATTAGGTGGCGCTGCGGGTTAAACTGCAGAAGCCTCTGTGCTGCCATGTCAGGAGACCTGCAGTCATAAGATCGAATCCACACGACACAGTGAGCTCCCGTCGCTAGTCTGTTTTTGATCCTCGTAAAGTGAAAATCGGTTCCTGAAGCAGGGAACCGATCATGGCAAAGCATATTTTCCCCATTCAAACCATCATTTTGTGATTGCAAAAGCGATCGCAAAAACGTCGTCGTCAAGCGGATTTGTTGTTAAAGCGTAAAGCGGGGCACGACTGTAGATAAATAGGTACCACCATGGTGGGAAGGCAACAGCATCCCGTGTCTAGTCACGCTGGCCACGTGACCACAGAAGATTGTCTTCGGACAAACGCTAGCTCTATGGGTTGGAAACTGAGATGAGCACCGCCCCCTAGAGTCGAACACGACTGGACAAAAATTGTCAAGGGGAACCTTTACCTTTACCTTATTAGTGGCAGAAAAACCATAGGCACTTTTGCAATGGGAGCAAAAACATCCTTATATCTTTCAGTTAAAATGTTTCAAAAGAGTTTGTTTTAATTGGTCATAATACATTTTTAAAAACCAATAAAATCACAGCTGCTCCAAGAAAAAGGCTGTGAGCCTCCAAAGTTCCCTTAATATTGCTTTGAAGACCAAACTGAAGCTATGTAAAAGTATTTATGGACACAGGGTTGGCAAAAATGTTGCAGTTTTGAATTTTGGCTGAATTCCACACAGCAGAATTAACTTCACATTCCCCAGATATGTCCACCTATTTTTCTCATTACCTGGCACTTATAGTCTTAATAACTCACAGGGAGACACAACTTGGAGAAAGAATCATTTACTGTACTTACATATCTGCCTGAGCAACAGGCCTCAAAAGAATAACTGACTTCAACTGAATGGAGAAAAAAGAACCCTTATCAGAGAGATATGGTTCTCTTTGGATCAAAGGCAGGGAAGGAACAATTGATTAGTTTTGGTTAGAGAAAGGTTCCTCGAAGTCACACCTACTAGAGGCAATAAGCAAAGTTGAAAAAAACCTCCAACAAAAAAGGATTGCTTCTTTGCCGTAATCACACAGTAGAGTCACCCAAGTCTGGCTGGATTTGAAGCATGCATTCTGCCAAAATAAGACCATGAGCGGATTATGGTACTGATCATGGACTGTTAATATTAAACATTATAGTGAAGCTGAAGAATCACATTGCCAAAAGATAATTTTGAATTTAAAGTCCACATAAGGAACAGATTTTCATTACTAAACTCAACTGCCCATGAATCAGAAGAGCTGTCAATCAAAACCAGAAATATTATTAGGGAATAATGCAAAAATATGATTCCTGTAGTAAAAAGAAAAGAAAATACTATATGGATAACAAACAAAACAAAACTGCAAAGGACAGGTGAGAAGCAAAAGAAAAAGATGACAGAAATAAAGTCAGAATTCTGAATGCAGCTTTTCAGGGAATGTCATATAGAGAAAAAGAGAACTATTATAATAACTAGTGCGAAGAAATAGAAAAGAACAGCAAGAGAAGAAGAACAAGAGATCTCTTCCAGAAGATCCAAAAAAGTCAAAGGGAAATTCAGGTCTAGTTTAGGAATGCTGAATGACTAACAGGGATGCATCCTATATGAAGAGGAGGAAGTAAAGAGAAGGTGGAAACAATATTCTGAAGACTTATACAGAAGAAATAAAAGGATTACAGACTCTACTGAAGAGGTATCCTATGATGAACAACTTGCAATTCTCGAAAGTGAATTGAAAGCTGCTTTGAAAGCACTGGGAAGAAATAAATCACTAAGAGTAGATGAGATAGTGATAGATATATTTCATGCCATAGAAATGGAATCTGTCGAGATCCTAACACAAATAACCAACAAATATGGAAAACAAAAAATGGCCCACAGGCTGGCAACATTCAATGTGCATTGCAATCCCCAAGAAGGCTCATTGATTTAATTTCCCAAGGAAATTATGATCAAGATATTGCAACAAAAGCCTTTACCTTTTATGGAGTGAGGAATGTCTCATGTTCAAGCTGGATTCTGAAATTCAAGATCATATTGCAAATATCTGTTGGATACTGGAGCACATCAAAGAATTTCAGATGATCAGCCTGTGCTTTGTAGCAAAGCCTTTGTGTGGCTCATGAGAAGCTATGCATTGTTGAAAAAAGACATGGGTGTGCCCCAGCATAGATTGTCTGTATACATAACCTGTATTATGATAAAATACTGCTAGGACAGAATTTGGAGAGACTGAATGGCTCCCTATAGGCAAAGGAGTCAGATTTTATCTCATATATTCAAATGTATGCAGAACGTATCATTCAAAAAGCCAGACTGGATTCAGATGAAGGAGAAGTGAAAATTGGTGGAGGAAACAACAACAATTATTGATATAAATTATTATAATTTAAATTATGCATATGAAATCATTTTATTGGTAGAAAGCAGCAATGACTTGACACAACTTCTGAGGAAAGCAAAAAAAGAAAGTGTCAAAGCAGGAATGCAGTGAATCATCAAGAAAACAAAAATCTACAGATGAACGACACATCTTTAATTCTGACAATGGGGAAATTGAAATACAGATTTTGTATACTTTGCTTCAACCATCAATTCTAATGGAGACTACAGCCAATAAACCAGAAGACTGTGACTCAGAAGGGCAGCAATGAAAGAATTAGAAAAAAATTATTAAATGTAAGAATGTGTCACTGGTGACCAAGACCATTTCCCCCTTTATTCCTGAAAACTATGTATGGTGTGACAGAAGACAGTAAAGGAAGCTGAAAGGGAAAAAATGATTTGTTTGAAATATGGACCTGCCAGAAAGATAAGCAAGTGGCTCCTAGAGCAAATCAAGTCTGAACTACCTCTGGAGGCCGTTGATCTTTGGGCACAAACTGAGAAGGCAAGATCCTTTAGAAAAGACAGAAATGCTGGGAAAGCTTGAAGGCAGCAAGAAAAGAGGAGGATCAAATATGAGATGGTTTGATGCCCAAGGGAGCCACAGCCTTGGGTTTGCAAGAGTTGAGCAGGATTGTTGATAATAGGGCATTTTGGAAATGACTCATTCATAGGGTCGCCATAAATTGGAGGCTACTTGATGTCGGATAACAACAACAATAACAATGTTCTGTTTGTTTCCCAGGCTGTTCCCTGGAATGTGGGAGAACAGAATGGAGTGGGAGGAAGTACCAAGAAGTGACTGCATCTGTCAACTCATATCTGCATCCCACACCCAGTGAGCAGGATTCGGACAGGGAGTCCAGCAATACCTATCAAAAACTCCCCTGGACTCTTTCGAGTCTGTAACTTTACAATAGCAGAAGACAGTAATGTAAACCAAATGCAACACACGGGCTGCTTGCAGGCACCCAGGGAGCTCAGTTGTACCACGACACCACTATTCCTGGGACCCTTAACTTCCCGATTCCTAGTTTTTGAATACTTTTTAAATTTGCTCATAAAATTCCCTTGTGCCCTCTAGGGGCCGTGGCAGCCATTTTTGACACATTTTACTTCCTCCAGCACTTCTGCTCCTCTGCTCCATTAAAACAAAAACAGGCGTGAGAGGGTTCCAAGGGATTTTATTAATTTGTGGAGTAGCACCCCAAGGTTCAAGGGTGAGGCAATGTAGGCCTCAAATACTGTATCTGAAAATTGCCAAACCCTGGACATGAAAGTGGTTTGCCTCTTCTTTTTAGTAGTTATCATGGTTTCAAAGCTAACTAAAACTAAATCATAGTTTTCTTCTTGTTATCTCCTGGATCCAGTCTTGCTTCTGGATCAGTAGCTATAAAGACCTTTATCTGTAGTGGACTTGAGCTTGCCCTTGAAGATGCTCTGAAAGCTTTTTTTAAAAAAAATATATGATTATTTTATCTTTTTAACATTTATTTTTATATTGTTTTAATGCATATGCTGCCCGAAAGTGTTTTGACAGATATAGTAAATTAATAAATTATAATTTACATCAATCAAGAGTTAAAATGGCTGCTTGAGTGTAGTTGACATACCTGTGGCAACATACTCCAAGTTGATTTTAACATACTTGTCTCGGTCACTCCGTGCCTGTTCATGGAGGAAACCCAATGCATGGTTGAGTTCGTGCTGAATTAATCCTTTGTGTATACAGCCATGTTTTGCCAAGCCCAAACGCTGTCTGCCTCCAATCTTTCCAAAGTACGACCAACATCTGAGATATTAAAAAAGCAAAAAGCAGTGTCATTAAATAAGAATAATTGACTTAGTTCTCAGAAACCACCCCACTTAATTTTAAGAACATGAACTTAACTTTTTTAAAAAATAGAACTGAATTTTCAATAGCCACTAAAAACCCAGAAAGCTCAGCACCTGTCTAATTTGTACTGATATGGAGTTTCTGGCGCATTGGCACTGAGGCCTAAATATGACTGATAGACCCATGTAAAACAGACCCACTGAATCACTGGGACTCACATAGCATTGACTTAATAAGCCCCATTCATTCACTGAATGGATTACTGTAATCAGATTTAACCAGTTTAGCCAATGCTGAGATGAAGGAAAGTACTTTCTACCAATATCTGGAAGGCCACATTCTTGCCCATGCTTGCTTTAAAGCCTCTAGTCAGAAGACGAACTAGGGGTATGCCATTAATTCTACAATACTGGGTGTAAATCCTGCATTCAGAAAGAATAGGGGTTTCAAACATCATAAGTGCAGTTCAAAGCCTCTGTGTATTTCGTATTCCTGGTTATTAATAATACTCTCAGATCTCAGGAAAGATTAAACTTACGTGTCCCCAGGAATAATATATATGTAGTCATATTCTCTTGTACGACTGATAAACCTGATACATGTCAGTGTGGCAAATTCTTCCATAGCTTCTGCTATCAAAAGCCTTTCCTCCGCAGCTAAAAATAAATGTTGCAAGGAAGACAAAATGAACATTTTGAAATAATGTCTGACATCTTGTTGTCAATCTAGCAGTAATTTCCTGATATTAAAGGTCCCCCTTTTCCATCCTGAGGCTCCCAAAGGCTTCCCAAGGGAAAGAGGTATCCCTAGAGAGCCCCTTCATGGATTGCTGCCTTGTCATGGCAAAGGGGCTTGAGAAGTGCAGAGAAGCTATGGGCTGTACCATGCAGGAACACCCAAGACAGACAGGTCATAGTGGAGAGTTCTGACTAAACGCAATCCACCTGGAGCAGGAACTGGCAAGCCACTCCATGGACAGAAACAAAAGGTTAAAGTATATGACACTGGCAGATGCACCCCTCAGATCAGAAGGCACACAACATGCCACAGAGGAAGAGTGGAGAACAAGTGCAAGTAGCTCTAGAGCTAATGAAGAGGTAGGGCCAAAGCAGAAAGGATGCTCAGCTGCAGATGTGCCTGGAAGTGAAAGGAAAGTCCAATGCTGCAAAGAAAAAAATACTGCATAGGAACCTGGGATGTAACATCTATGGACCTTGGTAAACTGGATGTGGTCAAATAGGAGATGGCAAGAATAAGTATTGACATCCTGGGCATCAGTGAACTAAAATGGAAGGGAATGGGCGAATTCAATTCAATTCAAGAATTCAATTCTTGCCTACTATTGTGGGCAAGAATCCCATAGAAGAAATGGAGTAGCCCTCATAGTCAACAAAAGAGTGGGAAAAGCTGTACTGGGATACAATCTCAAAAATGATAGAATGATT